TGTAGACATACTCTTTGGGTATGTCCCCAAACCTGCTGAAGTGAGCCTCCCGGCCCAGTCAAGAGACTCAGGCTGGCTGTGTAGATGAGGCTGTGAAGCCTACCCACCCTTCCTGTGCTTCAGAACCCAAGCTGTAATTTCAAATCGCTGTTTACAGAGCTATTTTTAGAGTGCCAGTGTGAACGCTGATAGCCTGACTTAAGCTGTGAGGCTCACTTCCTTGGTCTGAGTAGACATACCTAATAAAGTATACAGATTTCTGTCTCAGTTGCAAGGAGCACTAGAACAGACTAATGAATCTGTTTAGTCTGATATCCCAGCTACAACAGTGTTACCAGATTTGCCAGTTACTTTGGGGTATGCTCATTTATTAGGGTTACTCTTTGGAGGGGAGGGGTTCTGTAATTCTATTACTGTACTACTTGTGTTCTCATACAGAGCTCTCTTTCTCCGTGCTGTAAGTTCCCTCCCAATGGAGCTATCCTTCAGGACCTAGGCTCCCCAGGGCTGGGTTCTTCCAGCCCCAGAATCAGCCGAACACACACATTAACAGAGCATGTCTGAGAGGACTGGGTTAAATCAGCACTCCCAAGCGACCCCTTATATGTCCCTGGACTCAGTAGGCTGGGTTGAGCAGCATTTCCAAGCTGTCACCCTAACAGGCCCTTGGATTCAGCAGGCTGGGTCAAACAGCACCTCCAAGCTGTCACCCTCATAGGCTATGGGCACCGCACTGGAATAAAGTACGCCTGAGCAGGCTGGTTCGAGCGGCACTTCCAAGCTGCCACCATCATAGGTCCCAGTTTCAACACGTCCCTGTCCCCACTTTCACGTTACAATTGTTCTGGTAATAACCCACTTGATGAGTAAACCCCACAGGATTTTTAGGTGCTGCAGGGATCTTTAGCTTAGGTACGAGGAGTGTTGCTGCAGAGCGAATGAGGAAGCCAAAAAACACCCCCCGGGGGGGGGGGGGGAGAGGAGAGAGACAGAGAGAAGCAACCCAGCTTAACCATGAAAGTTATTTATTGCCAGGTAATAACCATAGGAGAGTCAAACAAGCAAAACAGTTATAATATTAAATCTAACAAATTTGATTATAAAAGTCAGGTTCAGAAATAACTGATCACGCAAGTCAGGGTCAGAAGGCTATACCTAGAGAGAGAGAGAGAGAGCGCGCTGGTTTCTCACCACTCCCTGAAGCTTGAATCGATCGGGGGTCCCAGGTGGTGGTGGTAGCTGAAGGTCCAGAGTGCTGGAGACAGGCAGAGCCCCCAGCACGATCAGTCAGGAGAAGATGGAGTCCCAATGGAACTGATGCAGAGTTTGGATCCAGGCATCAGAACACTTACTTGAGCATGGGTAGGGGGTTTTGTAGGGAAACAACAATGGTTTAAGGGAGAACACTAGATTTGTTTATGGGTAAACTGATGGCTCAAGGAAGTATACCAAAGTTGTTTTGTTCAGGCTAGACAATAGGAACTGATTGTTTCTGGCTATGGGTGGTGTTCCGTGGAGGGAGCTCATAATGCAATTAGGATGCTTCAGTATTTTGGATACCAATAAAGGATTTATTACTAGAATTGGTCTGAATCAGGGCTTTGGAGCGGTGCTCCAGCTCCGCTCCAGGCAAAAACCTGCAGCTCCACTGCTCCGCGCTCCAGCTCTGGGCTCTGCTCTAAAGCCCCGGGTCTGATAACTACAGAGCTGGATGTGTGCAGATGCTCAAGCGGAAGTTCTGAAACATACAATCCATCTAATTGTGCAGTAGCATACCACGGGGAAGATTTTTTCCTATACCAGCTGGTTTTTATCCTCCCAAATGCTGTTTTCATTCACAAATGCCTAATCTTTCTCCCCCCTCCTTTTTTTACATTTACTAAGCCAGGGGTCGGCAACCTCTGGCACGCAGCTCGGCAGGGTAAGCACCCTGACAGGGCTTCCCGCCACCCCCATTGGCCTGGAGCGGCGAACCGCGGCCAGTGGGAGCCGCGATCCGCCGAACCTGCCGACGCGGCAGGTAAACAAACTGGCCTGGCCCACCAGGGTGCTTGGCTTGCCCTGGCGAGCCACGTGCCAGAGGTTGCCGACCCCTGTACTAAGCTCTTTGATACAATGGTTATTCTTTAGCCATGAATGCCACAGATTATACATTGCCTTAAAAATTACTTGTATCCATTTTAAATTTGCTGCCTTTTAACTTCACTGAATGCTCCCTTGTTCTTGTATTAAGGGACAAATAAGTGGGAGCCTTCACATTTTATCAAATTCTATTGTATTCTCTCTCTCTTCTCAAACTTAACAGTCCTGGCCCTTTAAACCTCTTTTCATGTGGAAAGCTCCTCTGATTCTTCCTCTGCCTTGCTTTAAACATTTTCTGTTTGTGTTGCCTTTGTTCAGATATGGTGACATATCATTCATGAATAAAATTACACGAGGCAGAATTCAGCACATGCTAGACCTCTTCAAGCAACTGAATCTCCTATTCCACAAAAATAAAACCTCCTCATATAGGACTACTTATCTCTTTATATAAAATTTTATGAAATACTCCAGGGATGAATTCCTGGCCCTCTGAAGTCAATGTGAGTTTTGCCACCGACCTCAATGAGGCCAGGATTTTGCCCCACCTGAAATACATTCAAGAACAGAAGATGGGACAATAGGGAAAAAAGAGGTTTTATATAATATGGAAATACTGTTGACAGTAATAAGTGCAACAATAATAGTAATATACAATATAGAGAGGTTTTATGTAATATGGAAACATTAAAATAGTAATAAAAGTAATTATTGCTAGCAATTATGCGGTGCTTTATATGTTAAAAATATTTTACTAGCATTAATTAGTTAAAGAAGGAACAAAAGTATTACATTACCAAAAGGACTAGAAAACTGGAAACACTCTCGGGCTTCCATGGGAACCCAAAATGTGAAATGCGTTTAGCCAGGACATCCAAAAGCTTCTTTTGTTTAAATGAGGTTACATTATTGCCCAGGTTTTGTTAGTCTCCCGCTCTACATGCTAAAGGTGTTTCAATGAGAAGAGACAAATTCTAGAGATGCTGCCAGGGAGGAAAAGATGGAGATAGCACTCACTGTGAAAGTGTTTATGTATCCATCCTCTTTGAGAGCAGCCACTTCACTTCTGACTTGAGCGTGTCTCCTGATATTTGCTTATGGAGGTAAGAGTCCTTTGAACTGAATACAGTAGACCATCACAGTTATGAACACTTTGGGAATGGAGGTTGTCCGTAACTCTGAACAAAACATTATGGTTGTTTTTTCAAAAGTTTACAACTACACATTGACTTAATACAGCTTTGAAGCTTTACTATGCAGAAGAAAAATGCGGTTTCCTTTTTTTAATAGTTTACGTTTAACACAGTACTGTACTTGCTTCCCCCACCCACTGCTGCCTGATTGTGTACTTCTGGTTCCAAATGAGGTGTGTTGTTGACTGGTCAGTTCATAACTCTGAAGTCCTATCATAAATCTCTTGGAAAGAGGAAGAAAAGAAACAGACAGAACTGCAGATCTTTAAGATCAAAGAAAGGAAATAGCCCAAATCCCTTGTCTAAAACCTGGTGAAGTTACGAGGTGAGAGTTACCAAAAACACATTACTTTGCCATCCACAGTTTAAAAAGAGATGACATCCCCAGGACTGCTTACAATTTGTAATAAACTGAAGGTCTGGCTGAGAACCAATCCGGACGTTATTATTTTAACCTCCTTGTACATAAAGAAAATAAGATAAAATCTAAAAAAATCTCCCTTTCTATTCTACCACAAATTCCCATTCCTAATCCCCAAATTATCCAGCACCCAACACCCCATCCCTCAGATCCACATTACACCTCCTCTGCACAATCTGTAAAACAACCCACTCCACCAGCACTCAGCTCCCCACAAGTAATTCACTCATTCTTTCCAGAATACCCCAATTTTCTAGCATCAACCACCTCTCTCCGATATCAAAATGATCAGTCCAACAGCCAGGTCTTTTCCACTCTGTTTCTCAACACTCATGCCCAGTTCAATTCCCCACCTCTGCCTGAAGGGAAAAAGGTATTTGAACAGGGATCTCCTATCTCTGAGGGAAATGCCCAAACCACTGGGCTATGGCATATTCTGATTAGGGACGTAAATATTGTTTAAAAACTTAACAGTTTAAACGATTAAAATTATATCATTTAAATCGGTTAACTGATTAAAGGGAGTGTGGCTGGGCTGGGGCCTCTCACACTGGCCTCGGGCTGCAGCTGGGGTAACAGTTAGGGTGGGTTAACTGGTAAGACTAATGCTTACCGGTTAACAGTTTAATATTGTACACCCCTAATTCTGATGTGGGGCTTCCTCAATCTCTCATGTTGAAGCTGTTCCACTTGTTCCTGGGTAAGCATTTTAACCACTAGGCTAAAAGTTATGGGGGAGGAGGCTCCTCCTCCTCCTCCATCAAGATTTTGAATGTAGCCCGAATCTGCTAGGTGTGCTCAGAACATGCCTACTGGCCTGGGCTCTGCAGGCAAGGTAGGAGGATCACCCAACTTCCCCTGGTCTGAGCATCATGCTGGTGCTCAAGTGTCCAGATGCTTACAGTGAGGTGGCAGGGTGCATGCCCAGAGGCCAACACTTATGTGACTAGGAGATGATTACAGTGAAAATTTAGGTGCCAAATGAATTAGGTGCCTGCAGAGTTAAGCAGAAGCTTACTGGGGGTTTTGTGGATTGCAACAGTGCCTAAAACTGAAACTTAGGCTCCTTTGTGAATCTGGGCCTTACTCCTTTGTATATACCCCAAACGACCAATGTCTGCTACTGCTTTCTATTCCATATGGCCACTCTAATCCTATACTACAGGGGTGGCCAAACTTACTTTGACCCTCTGAGCCACATTTGACAATCTTCAGAAGTTTGAGAGCCGGGACACACTTGCTGGGGCTCTGGGCTTCAGCCCCGCGGGAGGCGCCTTACAGGGCTTGGGGCTTCAACCCCACTCCTGCTGAAGCCCTAAACCCCAGCAGGCATGCCCCACAGGGCTGAAGCCCTGAGACTCCCTCCCCACTGGGAAGGGGGCCCTACCCCACTACCCCGCTGCAAGATAGAGGTCTCGAGCTTCCCCCCCAGTCTGGTAGGTGGAGAATGGGGAGAGGGGGATCTGCGAGCTGCACTTTAACTGTAAAAGAGCCGCATGCAGTTCACGAGCCATGGTTTGGACACCCCTGCTATACTAGATGTGAACGCAAACTGAGACTTTTCCTACATGCAATACATTTATAGGGTTTCTTTCCTGTGTGGATTCTCAAATGCACTTTAAGTGCTGAGCTCTGTCTGAAGTTTTTTCCACATTCACTACATTTATAAGGTCTTGCTCCTGTGTGGATTCGCGAATGCACATCAAGGGCTGAGCTCTGTCTGAAGGTTCTCCCACATTCATCACATGTATATGGTCTCTCTCCTCTGTGGATTCTCAGATGCACATTAAGTGCTGTGCTCCGTCTAAAGCTTTCGCCACATTCAGCACACTTGTAAGGTTTTCCATGTGTGTGGACACTCCGATGTGAAATAAGTGCAGCGCGCTCACTCCGGGTTTTCCCACATTCAGAACATCGATAGGGATTTTCTCCTGTGTGGATACGGTGATGAGTCGCAAGTGCTGAGCTCTGACTGAAGCTTTTATCACACACGGAACATTTGTAGGGCTTTTCTCCTGTGTGGGTTCTTCTGTGGGTAATAAGTGATGAGCTCTGTCGGAAGCTCTTTCCACAATCACCACATTTGTAGGGTTTCTCTCCCGTGTGGATTCGCTGGTGTCGGATGATGGCGGAGCTGTCACGGAACCTTTTCCCACATTCTTTACATTGATGGGGTTTCTCCCCTGTGTGGATTCTCCTGTGTATGATAAGCGATGAGCAATCACTGAAGCTTTTCTCACATCTAGTACAACGGTAGGGCTTCTCGCCCTTGTGGCTTCTTTGGTGTACGATGAGGTGCGAATTCTGACTGAAGCTCTTCCCGCATTCTTTACATTTGTAGTGTTTTTCACCCGTGTGGGTTCTCTGGTGTCTGATAACATTTGACCGCTGACTGAAGGTTTTCTCACACTCGTTGCATTGATAAGGCTTCTCTCCTGTGTGGATTCGCTGGTGTTTAACCAGGTCTGAATTCCGAGTGAAGCTTTTCAAACATTCACCACAACCAAAGGGTTTCTCTGCCACATGGATTCTCTGATGCTGAGTAAGGTAGGAGTTTCGACTGAAGCTTTTCCCACATTCAGAACACTGATAGGGTTTTTCTTCCATGTGCGCTGTCTCTTGCTCAACGAGGCCTGGGCTCAAAACAGAGTCATTCTCACAATCGGATGTGTTTGGTTTATCTTCAGTATGATCATCATCTTCAGGTTGCCTGACACTTGCTTCCTGGGAAGGGGACTTTCTCTGTCTCTTCCCAGGAGATTTTTTGATTTCATTTTCTGAAATCTCCTGACTCTCACAAGCCTCTGTTTGGTCAGGACTCTTGGAAATATTCCCTTTAAATCTTCTCGACAATGCACTACGTGTTTGCATTTTCCCGGGACCTTCCTGAAGACGAATGCCCTTCTTAATTTTACTCACGACTCTGTCACTTGCTGGAATAGAAAGAGAAATGAGACATGAATAATTCCCTGTGCTTGTGAGAGAAGAAGCCTAAAAACAAAACAAAACACACACACCACAAGGATTTCCCACAAATAAACCACGCTTCCTAACATTTTAATCCCAGAGCCCAAGTTCACCAATATGTGTGCAGGAAGTGGAATGAGGAACACAAAGGGAGTGAGGTGAAACTGGCAAGAGAATGGGTGTGCAGCCTCTATTTTGAAGGGTATTCTGTTGAAACACTTGCTCAGCAACACATGCTTTAGGTTCCTCCAGCCTACAAAGTGGGCAGGTAGGAGCACAGCCCAACAGCCCATACCCCAAGCTGAGCACAGGTACAACACACTCAGGAGGGCATGTTTAAGGGTTTTGTGCATGGATTTGGGCAACAACATGGATCACATGTCCCTAGCCTACAGTATAGATGTACTCAAGGGGACAAAGTCCATCACTTGCCTTTCCTCAAAAATCCTGCTCTTGGCAGATTTTGCAAGGGGGCAGGGGAGGAACGTGGTAACCTAGGTTCCCCTTCAGAAATTCCCACTGTAACCACTCCTCTCCCCACTAGTTTCATTCCCTGTAAGTCATCAAGTGTTCCTCCTCCTTCAGTCCTCTTCTGCTTATCTGGTAGAGAACCAAAGAGTTCTAATGGGCTTTTTTCCCTGGGTAGACTGTCCCCCTTCCCTCACTTCAGGGGCTAGACCTTCTTTCCAAATTAAAATAATCAAAACCCCATGCATTCTGTAACAAGCGGGACCTAAATTTTGTCTACAACACTGACACAACAGATTGGAAATCCTGTAGCAACTTCATGTAAAAAGCCACCAATTATTTTAAGAATTAAATATGAAAATGAATAATACAATGAGTACAGTAGCCCCTTTATTATTTACATTGATATTATGTTCCTCACCTGGGAAGAAACTTTGGAATGTGGAATAAACACATTAACTGGTTGTTTCTGCTTAAACAAATAGCAATGGAATAGTTAACATTTTTCACATTTAATTTGCCATTCAAATTGTCAGTGTTAACAATTTGAGATGAAGGAGGCAGTTCAAACCCCTCGGCTATTGTTTCATGCTGTCTGCAGACTTAGGAAGACAATGCTGAATTGACTATACTAATTTTCAAGGTTTTCTTTATGACCATCAGAGACAGAAACATTTAAAATGAAAGTTGAGATTCTGATGCACAGTTCTGAAGCAAGGAATGGATCCCAAGGCTGCAGAATAAAAACATAAGAAAAAGAAAATACAGGTGGAGTGAAAAACACCACCCAATTTGGTTATTTCCTCTTTCCAACATTCTGAGTATTAACATTACAAAAATGCATGGAATGTAATTTAATTTTATAGACTGATTCTTTCTGAATGGGAGGAAGAACCCCAAAATTGTGCATTGGGATGGGATCCACAAAGGTACTTAAGTCCCATTTTCAGATGCCACTGTGATCCACAAAACTCTCACTTGGCTGCTGTCTAACCCTATAGGCACCTAAACTTGCTCAGCACTTCAATTGCACTTGCTAGGCACGTATGAGAGCACCTGCACTGTTGTCCTACACTAGGCATCCGGATAGCCATCTTCCGCCTGAGTCCCAGAACGATCCATTATCTGGGGAAAATAAGCATTCATCTGCCTAAGTCATCTGTGAAAGCCTAATCCAGTAAGCATGCTCAGAGGCCGCTTAACACCACACAAAGCATCTGCACACCCCCTCCCCATTATAACCTTTAGCCCAGTGATCAGTGCACTCACCCATGATGTGGGAAACCATCAGTTCAAGTCCTCCCTCTGCCTGATGAGAAGGGATTTGAACAGGCATCTGTCAGATGAGTGCCCTAACCACTGTTTCAGGATTTTAGGATAGTCTAATGAGTGTCTCCTTCAATCTCGTCTACTGAAGTTGTTGCACTTTAATTAAATAACTGAATAATTAAATATGAATTGGGCCAGAGAAAAGGTTAGTGACTGTACAATAACTAAATAGTGCATGCGGGTGCTTATAAGAAATCATACAACAAGCCAGTATGGGCAACTCAGCACTCCTAAAGCCAAACAAGCCAGTGCACAGCCCCTGGATTCACAGAAGGCTCTACAATAACGTAGCACCAGCAGTCATAAAAGAGATGTAGAGCAGGGAGGAAATGAAGGAGAGAAAAGGCAGACAGGCAAAATGGTGCATTGGCAAAAGGGAGAGGAGATAGTTTGTGATGTCACCAAGTTTGTGATGTCATCGAGTTGCTATTGTGAACTGGTCTGCAGCAATAACCCTACTCAGAGAGTTCCCCGCCTTCTCCTCCTGACCCACCTCAGGTAAAAACAGCAACAGGAAAAAGGAACAAAGTGAAGGATAGGCAAGGAACCCAGAACTCCCTCCATGGTATCTAACACCTCCCACCCCCACCCCCACACAATACAAGAAAGATGAGATGTCAGATAGCAGCATGGGCCTTCCTGATTGTTTCTGGTGAGTAGGAAAACTTATCATCATCATCCATCCCTGACACTGACTTGTGATAGGGGACAGGAGAGTCGCCTGTTCCCCATCCTCACTCACAGCAAATCAGGAGCCTTGGCACCTCAGAGCTAGGAAGGAGGGAACGGGTTTACATATCAGTAACTGTCAATTAAATCTTGGCTGCACAGAGCACTGCCTCCTCGAGTCCCTTTCTTCCAAATGCTTTAACCTACCCACTTGTTCACTTTGAACACACATCTTATAGCCACAACTAGAGAAACACCCGAAGCCTGGCTTTTTTCCCCGAAGTCTGCCACAATAACCAACACTGAAGGGACCAGGATCAGATAGAAAAACATTACCAGTTCTCCTATATAAAGGAATTGAACTCTGCGCAGTAGCCGAGAAGCAGACCAGAGAGCCGAAAAGGTTTAGCCACAGCAATTAGTCAGAACAGTGTCCTACAACAGAAGAAAAAGAACTGCAGGTGGCTGAACTACAGATTACAGGCAGGGCCAGATGCTTCCCATTACAGGACCCTGCTTCCAGGTGCTTATAACTTTGCCAGACTTTAATGGTTTCAGCTGAAATGTTCCATGCTGGGTGCCTGCCCCAGCCTGAACTTTTTTTTAAAATTTATTTATTTATTTATTTCCGCCAAAGTGGTTCAGCTGTTTCTGAGAACAGGGTTAAGGGAACAATACATGTTCTGGTAACCTTTTCTTTGGAAAGCTCTAGTGCTCCTGTGCTTTGGAGCACAGTCTGGAAATTGGCTGGGTGCTAGCCTTTGTGTCAGGGATGTACCTTTGCCATCCCCATGATAACATAGGCGCAGGAACTAGGGGTGCGGAGGCTGTGCACCCCCAGTGTCCCGGATGCCGGCCTCAGCTTGGGTGGGGGCGGACGGGGTAAGGGGGGTGGCTTTCAGCACCCCCACTATTAAAAATGTTCCAGCGTGACTGTGATAACCCACTCAAATATGGCCAAGTTAAAAAACCCTGAAAAAATCTGTTCACACAGGCTTGGCAGAGACTTCTTGGATTTCAGCAACTAAAATCTCCAAAGATTCTGTCTTCACAGAACACGCTCAAGCCTCTCATAGTTCGTAGTGCTAACCACATGCACCATCCCCACTGAGCATGCTCCATCCCCTCCCAGCTCCTACACATGAGCTGGCTGCATATATGCTATCACCACAGGGGGACTGAGTATGCTCCCTCCAGCCCAGGTCAACAAGGGTGAAGCCAGACTTTCCTTGGAATGGCTGCTCCCAGCTAGGGTGCAGGCTAGGGTGAGGCAGAGCACTGGAACGGAGCATAAGGAGCCTGTCTCTCCTGTGTTATCAATGATATATACACACACACACACACACACACACACACCCCCCTGCTGGTGTCCAAGCCATGCAGAGGATGAAGCCGTCTGATTAGAATGCAGAGTGGACAAAAGTCAGACCCCAGAAAAGGGAAAGGAGTAGTTTGGGACAAGCAGTCTAGTGAGACAGTCTGGAGGCAGGGAGAAGATAAACTGGGATTGCTTGAGCAATGAGACCGGGACTGGGAGCAGTACAAGGAAACGGGGAGGAACAGGAGCTAGTTGGCTCGGAGGAGATGGGGAACACTGAATTCGGAGGAGCCGAGAAGAGGGGTAGATTGGCCTGCCTGGGACTAGGCGCAGGGCATGGAAGAGGCATAGGAGACACTAGGTGGGAAGACCAAGATTCAACAGCACGCCCAGATGAGGAGACTAGGAGAACCTTAATAACGTTCTTTAAAAGCAGTCTGTGTGTGTGCATAGCTCCAAGTTTTTTAATGTTATATACAGGTTCATTAAATGTTTGACTACCTGAGAGAGCATGCACATAAATCCAACCGCCACTGATTTCTAGAAGGTTCTGGATCCATTTGCCAAGAATGGGGATTTATAGAACAAATTCTTGAAAGAAAACTATCCCACAATTCCCTTCCCAGGGAAAAAGGGGGGGGGAGGTGGAGGAGAGAGTTAACAGCACAATTCAGGGCCCCAGTCCCAAAACAGGGAGTCACAACCATCATTCCCAGGAAAGGTGAGAAGAGGTCTCCCTCATAATTCAGGACCCCATTCACAAGAAAAGGGGGCACTCGCACAGCTATGGACCCTATCCCCAGGGGATGGGGTTCCTCCCAAAGGGTCAGGCCAGGAGGTCACCCTTCAGTTCTGCACCATGTTT